TAGCTCTATTTACACTCGTGGAGAACGAAATTTTATGATACTTACCAAACATACAATTATCACAAAATGACAAAATTGACACAAAGTCATTACCAAACGTACATTTTTCATCAAGTAGCTTAAGTCCCTTGATGCCTACGTGAGCAAGTCTATTATGCCATGTGTGTGTGTGATCAATCTTGGCAGAAGAGATAGAGGAGTTCAAACCTCTAATCACTTCCCCAATAGTAATATAGATATCGTTTTTCTTAGTTCCCTTAATGGAAACTAAAACACCCTTGATCATTTTTAGCATACAATTTTCAATTTTACCAGCGAAGTCATCCTTTTTAAGTCTCCCTACTGAAATCAGATTCCTAAACAATCCAAGAATATATCTAACATCCTTTAACGTGTACACAAAATTTGTGTCAGATTTTATGTTTATGTCACCAATTCCAGCAATAGTATAGGCAAAGTTATCACACAACACAATATGCCCAACATTAGATTCATGCAATTTATAAAACCAATTCTTTTCAAACATTACATGAAAAGATGCACCAGAGTCAAGTATCCACTCATGCATGTGGGAATTAGCAGTTAAATTTAATTCAGCGGCGTATGCAACGGGACTTGTAATCATATAGACCTCACCACCATCTATATCGGAAGTAGATGCTAACACATTTACCTCATCTCTCTCCTTAACCTTTAGCTTACCCTTCTCTTTATGGCAATCCTTTATAAAACGTCCCGTGTTTCTACAACCATAGCATTTTCTTACCTTGGTCCTAGATTTTGATCTAGACCTACCTTTGCTCTTCTTTTTCCATCCATTACCACTTGACTCGCCACTAATTTGATATCCATCATGACTATTTTGCTTAAATTGAGTTCTACCCCGCATCATATGTACTTCACCGTTTCTCTTATCGTGTTTTTCGGCCCTAATTTCCATTTCTTTACTTCTAAGGGAGTTTATGACAATCTCAGGTGTCAACGTATTTCTGCCATACTTAATTGCGTTCTTAACTTCCTTATAGGAATCAGGAATAGCATTGAGCAAAATTATAACCTTATAAATTTCAGACACAGCCTCATTACAATTAACTATATCTTGCACCAATTTGTTAAACACGTCTAAATTATCATCGAGATCCTTTGAAGGATTCATTTTAAAACTGAAAAAACGTTCAAGCAAGTAAAGCTTATTTGGTTTAGACTAAAGCAAATATAAGTCTTCCAATTTTTTTCAAAGTTTTTTAGTGGTTTTCAGTTTACCCACCTTTCTTAAAACGGTATCAGACAAATGTAAAATGATTGAGGTATAAGTAAACTCATCGACTTCTTCTATTTGTTCTTGTGAAAAATCAGTTGAAAAATTGCCTTCAATAGCCTTTGAAACTTTTTTTTGGACTAAATTGCTCTTCATTTTTTGTTGCTAAATAGCAAAATCACTCTTTCCATTAAAATTCCCCAAATCAAAGTTGTGAGTTGTCACCTTTACACAATAGTTAAAGAGTGCACAAAAAACACAATCAAACCATACAAAGTAGTCTTAGGGTTTCAGATAATATACGCCGTTCAAGATTTCCAGGGTTTCGTAAGACTCGGGGTCTTAGATCAAGGGAATGTTTGAAAACGGGTAAGGTCACGGTAATTCTAATGGAATGGATAAGCAGCGGAAATAACAATGCAACAGAAAATTACGTCTAACAGATAATTAGTTTCACGACAGTTATATCACTGAGACTCAAATACTGATTTAACTAAAAGACAAATACTCAATCAAATAGTCAAGAGCACGTAACCCTAATTTCTAGCACAAGCAATGGTTGCCGAGCAATGGCAACCCCCAAACCTAATGATCCCCACACGATGATCTGCTAGTGCAAAAATATAAAGGTTTCAGCCAATTTACCAGAGTGGACCTATCTGAGTCCGTAACGTGGAGAGATGCGAATTTGCTGCTTTAAGGCTACCACTATTCGCCCTAAAGGTTTAGCAAATATAACAGTT